CGCGGCGTTCCTCCCCACCCTCCCGGAGCCAGAGGCGAGTTTGGACCGGGAGCCGCTTCCAGATTGCTCCAGTTTCGTTAGCCCAAGCCTGGCTGTCTGTTCCCCCGGAGTTGGTCCACAGCGTGGGGAAAAACGCCGAGCTCCACCGCAGCCCTGTGTCCCGGGACGGAGCTGCGGACTCGCCTCTGCCCCTGCCCGACGCAGCAGCTTGGACCCGCCCCCGGCCAGATCAGCAGTCCCGTCACCGGCCCAATCGGCGCCCCCGTCATCTGCAGGCGGAGGAGCAATGTCTGCAGCCCAGCTGACAGAGCTTGTCGGTCTCCAGGCAGAACTTGGCCGGATCCACCAGCTCGTCAGCCTCCAGGAGTCCCACCTGGACACTCTATCCTCCTCGAACCGCCAGGAGAGGGCCTCGGTCCAGCCGGCAGCTCCCTCATCTCAGAGCCAGAGGAGCGAGCCCGAGGTCCACCCAGCGGAGCTCGCCGGTCTCCGGGCTGAGCTGGCCCAGCTCCGTCGGACTCTCAGCCTCCAGGAGCTTCAGCTAGACGGTCTGTCCTCCCTGTTCTCCCGGTTTCCAGCACCACCAGTTCAGATCCAGCCTGTCCAGGCAGCCCCTCCCACTGCGGCTCCGTCTCCACTCCAGAAGCAGAAGGTTCGTGCCCAGAAGCAGATGGTTCCAGTTCTGGCCCAAAAGCAGACGGTTCTGGCCCAGAAGCTGTTGGTTCAGGTTCCGGCCCAGAAGCAGACGGTTCTGGCCCAGAAGCAGACGGTTCCGGTTCCGGCCCAGAAGCAGACGGTTCCGGTCCAGAAGCAGAAGGTTCCGGCCCAGAAGCAGACGGTTCTGGCCCAGAAGCAGATGGTTCCGGTTCCGGCCCAGAAGCAGACGGTTCTGGTCCAGAAACAGACGATTCAGAAGTCGACGCCCCCGGACCAGAAGTCGACGCCCCCGGACCAGAAGTCGATGGTGGTCGACACCCCTTCCAGTCTTATTGTCGACACCTCTTCGTGTTCTGAAGTCGACGCCTCTTCATGTTCTGAAGTCGACGCCTCCTCGTGTTCTGAAGTCGACGCCTCCTCGTATCTGAAGTCGACGCCTCCTCGTGTTCTGACGTCGACGCCTCCTCGTGTTCTGAAGTCGACGCCTCCTCGTGTTCTGAAGTCGACGCCTCCTCGTATCTGAAGTCGACGCCTCCTCGTGTTCTGACGTCGACGCCTCCTCGTGTTCTGAAGTCGACGCCTCCTCGTGTTCTGAAGTCGACGCCTCATCCACTCCAGAGGTCGACGCCTCATCCACTCCAGAGGTCGACGCCTCATCCACTCCAGAGGTTGACGCCTCATCCACTCCAAGGGTCGACGCCTCTTCCAGTCCAAGGGTCGACGCCTCTTCCAGTCCAAGGGTCGACGCCTCTTCCAGTCCAAGGGTCGACGCCTCTTCCAGTCCAAGGGTCGACACTTCCTCTGAAGTCGGCGCCTTATCTGAAGTCGGCGCCTCATCTGAAGTCGGCGCTCTTTCCACTCCAGAGGTCGACGTCCCCTCTAGTCCGGTGTCTCCGCCATCTCCAGTTCCAGTGGTATTTCCGGAGGTCGTACCGTATCTGGTTCAGCCCTTCCACGAGGCTCCGGTCCAGCCCGTCCAAGAGGCTTTGTCTCCGGTCCAGCCCGTCCAAGAGGCTTTGTCTCCGGTCCAGCCCGTCCAAGAGGCTTTGTCCCCGGTCCAGCCCATCCAGGAGGCTTTGTCCCCGGTCCAGCCCGTCCAAGAGGCTTTGTCCCCGGTCCAGCCCGTCCAACAGGCTTTGTCCCCGGTCCAGCCTGCAGAAACTGTGTCCCCGGTCCAGCCTGCAGAGCTCCTCTGCCGTAAACCCCGGCCTCCTAGAGCCCATCACCTCCTCCACTGCTGCAGACGCAGGCCTCCAAGAGCCCGTCGCCTCCTCATCTGCTGCAGACGCAGGCCTCCAAGAGCCCATCGCCTCCTCCTCTGCCGCAGACCCAGGCCTCCAAGAGCCCGTCGCCTCCTCCTCTGCCGCAGACGCAGGCCTCCAAGGGCCCGTCGCCTCCTCCTCTGCCCCAGGCGCAGGCCTCCAAGGGCCTGTCGTCTCCTCCTCCTCCCCCCTTCTGTTCTGTGTCTTGTGTCGGATCGTTGTTTCATTGTCCAGCATGTCTCCTAATAAATAAGTGTAAGAATACCTACCTGTCTGCCTGTCTTCCTCCCCGCGTCTGGATCCTCGCCTCACCTCGGCTTCATTCACCGGCACGTGTGACAATATACTGACTCCGCTCAGCCTCAGAGGACAGATGTGGCTCCTTCTGGAAACCTTGTCAGGCCCGAACCTGCATGGAAAAGATCTAGAACACACAAAGAGATTCTCTCTCTTGCCTGGGAAGATCCTGAGTTCCCCATGCCGGGTGTACACTGTGCGACTTTTTCACTTTTTTGAGCCGATTTTCCAGTCGTGCGAGAATCCACGAGATCGGGGCGAGTTTTGCGCCGAGCGGTCGTCTAGTGTACAGGGGGTTACGAGAGGCGATTAACACCACATGACCAGCTGCCGATCAGCAGTCGTGAGGTTGCACGGACTTCTGGCGTGTTTAATATTTCGCTCGTTCCTCGTGAGGGTATCGCACAGTTGAAGCGGCGCTGCGAGCAGCTGCGACCCAAAAAGTATCAGAACCGCTCACGGCGCATGTGCAATCATGCATCAACGCCGCTCGCTATTCCCCTAATAACACACGCTGTTCGTTTTTTTTTCTACATGTTTTTTACTCACAAAGATTGTCAAGAAAGTGTGTTTGTCGTGTTCATGTCAAATTAAACTGATCACAAAACACAAATTTACTTTCTTTATTTCGTTTTCCTCATCCAACCCCCATAAATCCCTGTGTGTCCTCCAGCAGCACTCCCGAAGGACAACAGGCAAGACAAGACAAAAAAGTCTGACGTGTTGAGTAAAAACTGCTATTTTTAGCATATTTTTAGGGCCGACGTGTTGCTACCAGACGTACAGTGTGAGCAGTCAGGTTGCATGCGAGAACTGGGTCGTACAGTGTGAGCACATGACTCGTGAGATCTGTTCTGCGAGGAAGTCGTACAGTTTGAGCTGAAGCTGAACGCTGCGAGTGAAAAAGTCGCACAGTGTACGCCCGGCTTAACTGGAGAGTGTCCCTGCAGAGAGGGAAGTGTGGGTTCCCCCTGGACCCGTCATCTCCAATGAATGAGCTTCTAAAACACACACACAAAGGGCAGGGGTGGAACACAAATGGCAAAATTTATTTAAGTTATTAAATATTAAAATCTTTATTTTCTTCCATCCAAGATGTTTGGAGGCAACATGTTTGTTATTCCTGTTTTATTATGCTCAAACAGCTTCCAGTTACAAGTGTCTTTGATGTGTGTTCCCGCATTTGCTCCTGTTTACTTTTACAAAGAACAGAGAATATACTGCAGAGTCTTTATTTGCTCCGCTGCACACTATCCTCAACTGCAAAAGGTCAGCATTGGCTATTTATTCAATAACTCCCTCTGACGGAACCAAGCAAATAATACCCGTACACTCTCAGAAGAGCCTGAAAAGGACCTTTCTTTATTGCAGCACTGCAAAGAATAAAATATGCTTGTTGTTGACCCTTTATCACTCCGTTATTAGGCTGTAAATGATCTGGACCAATGTGATTATTTAATGGGACCAGCCTTTATTTAGAAGTTTTCAAAGGAACAACAGCAGATATGATGCATATAGAAGTTTACTAAACCTTTGCTTTGAGTTGGTTTTAAAAATGCAGTTAATACTAAATTAATAAATATCTTTTTCCTCACAAAGTGTATGATTTATCCATCCATCCATCCATCCATAATTTTCATCCTCTTATCCAGAGTCGGGTCGTGGGGCAGCAGCCTAAGGCGAAAGGCCCAGACTTCCCTCTCCCCAGATACTTGAGCCAGCTCTTCCCGGGGAATCCCAAGGCATTCCCTGGTCAGGTGAGAGACATAGTCCCTCCACTGTGTCCTGGGTCTTCCCTTGGGTCTCCTCCCAGTTAGATGTGCCCGGAAAACCTCACCAGGGAGGCGTCCAGGAAGCATCCTGACCAGATGCCCGAGCCATATCAACTGGATCCTCTCAAAGTAGAGGAGCAGCAGGTCTACTCCAAGCCCCTCCCAGATGACCAAGCTTCTCACCCCATCTTTGAGGGAGAGCCAAGCTTGTATCCGCGATCTCGTTCTTTCAGTCACTACCCAAAGCTCATGACCATAAGTGAGCGTAGGGATGTAGATCAACGGGTAAATCGAGAGTTTTGCCTTCCAGCTCAGCTCTCTCTTCACCACGGAGCTGGCCCAAGTAGCTGGGGAGAGAGAAGGGTGACCCCGCAACCCGACCCTGGATAAGTGGAGGGAAATGGATGGATGGAACTCAGAAATTAATGCCAAAAGGAACCAAAGCTCCCTCTAGTGGATGGCTGCATCATCTGTTTTGCCCCCCCCCCCACCACCACCACCACCACCACACACACAAACACACACATAAACAAATAGAACTTTTTTTTGACTAAAAATAAAACTTCACATCTATTGATCCATCTAGTTCTCACCTTACTGCTGAATGTTTTCATTTTTTATATGTTTAGTTGTAAATAATCATGGTAGTACGCAGATGATGGGTTCAGGTAAACACCTGAAAACACATGTTTTATCATAAATGCATCAAATTCTGGACTGAGTTTATTCAGAATGGACTAAAACTGTCAAATTGAATTATACACTTGCTCCTGCTTCTCTGTGATGGTCCGTCACTTCGAGGGTATTTTTCCTGAGAGCATATGGCAGTTTGATCCTCAGGTCCCTCCATGTGTAAAGTTTTCTTTTTACAAAGCACTAAACCAGATATCGGTCCCAATGTGCACGTTATGTGGATGTGTGCATGATGAGTGAAAAAGCACTTTTTTTGAATGAAGTATTAATGAGTGAAAAATCAATCAATCAATCAATCAATCAATCAATCAATCAATCAATCAATCAAAGCTTTATTTAATAAACACATTAAAAAGCTCTGAAACGTAAGAGACCAAATAAAATATATTTTGAAGCATCTGCCGTAGAAATCAGATAAAGTAAAGAACAGAAAATCAACATTTGAGGATTTCGATGTGTGTTTTGTGTCAAATCTGCAAAGATCCTTTCTATAGGTAAAGAAATAGCCTCCCTCTCTTGTTACAACTCCCACCACCTCCATCCACCTGTTAGTCTCTCCTCTCCTCTGTCTTGTGCTCATATCTGTCAACTGTTTCTGTTTTCTGCAAGCGTGTCATTTGTTGCACTGGATTCTTCTTTTTGCTGCATATTTACACGTTATCATAAAGTAGAAGAAGCACGGTGGAGGATTTGCTGTAATCTGTGGAGTTGATTAGGATCAGTGGTGTTTTTGATGTGGTACGTATGAAACGTATTTTTGCACATATTTTCTGTTATGTCATACTTTAATTTGAAAGACGCGAAAAGAAAATGTTCTGATTTTTACTACTTGTGAATCTTCTCAAGTAAAGCAAATTTTATCCCAAACTTTTAACACTTAAAAGAAAAATATACATATTGTATGTAAAAAAGCAGCAAAACATTTAAAGGACCTGAACAAGTGGTTACTTGATAACTGTTATAGATTGTGCAAACTTTGATTATTGCTCGTTTTTATTTATGGTCAGTCAGTTGAAGGATTTTACATTTTCTCTATGTTTACATCCGGAAACAAACCAGTCCTTTTAACTCAGACATGATCTGCCTGCAGCCTGTGAATACATATCTGTGCATTGCACAGATTTTCCATGAACTGATACAAGATGTTATTCTGAGAAGATGCTGGGAGCTGATAGATTTTTATTTTCCATCATGAATCTATAGATTTTTGTTTTTAATTTCCCCTAAACTCTTTAGTTCTGTTTATTCTGTATTAAAACGAGACAGGGGGCGGGTGTCTTTGGAGAAATGGCTGAACTCTGATACGCTCCTATCTGAATGCCTGAGGAAACAAACAAAAACCCCTCCTGTTCATTAATTTCCTGACATGTATCCATATCTGCAGCAAACTGGATGGTCTCGCTCATTTTTAATAATTAAAGCCCCTTATTTGTCGTGCTGCTGATGACATCACCCTGTCTTTGTCGTTGTGTTGATACATGATCCAGATAACATCAATGTGGAGACACCGGATACTCCTGTTTTGTGATTGAGGGTTTGGAGAATTTGTTGGTGGGGGTGTGATAGATAACTCACCTGGAAACAAATGTTCACACAACTTATCGGTAATACTGATGCATTTAGAAACAGATCAGGGTGTTGTGGGGCATTTTGCTACTGTGCAAAAATATAATGCACCCTAACATCATTTTAACAGTTTCTCCTCACATGTTTATAATCTCCTGATATTGTCTTTACTATAATTTTGTAATGCATTTAAAGGTTATTCAGTATTTGTCATTGAACCCATTTTGTTACTTAGTTCATGATACCTTTTGCAGTTTATACTTTATAATGTAAATAAAAACTTGGAATGCATCAAAATTTGTTTCAGCACCAAAATAAACTGCAACAGAAACGCTTATGATTCATATCCACAAGCCACTCTTTATAAATCTGGAAAAGTCACCAGCTGATGTTAAAATACGATTTTACATCTCAAAATGTGTCCATTTTGTTGTTTTTCATAAAGAAATTGAAACAGGTTGTGTCTTTGTGACAGGCTGCTGGAAATAATGTACCTTAAGCCTGAATAATGAAGTTTCCTGTTTTGTGACACAACACAGATTTCTTGAGTTTAGATGCCTTTTTTTTTTTGGCTGAATAATAGTTGGGTCAGAGTTGAGTGGATTAAAAGGAAATATACAAGTGCAGGAATAAATTCAGTGGGAAAAGCAGCCAAAATTCAGCGAAAAACTTAAAAGATCTTCAGAAACCTCAGATTACATTTTCTTTTTAGATCTTAAAGTAACACAGAGCAGTTTCCTGCTCCTCTGCCCTACTGGTTGAATGTGGAATTAAAACTGTTGTAAACAACCCTGCTGCAGCCTGCTGTAGCTAATGCTAACAACAAGCCAACACTGACATGAGCCAACTCAAACTAAAATAAACAAGTAAAAAGATTCACCCTGTTGGAGATAAAATATTAATACTTACAAGTTCTGTAGCAACAAAGCCAGGTCACCATCAGTCCGTGATTTAGTAGCCTCCTTTAGCTTCGTCAAACATAGCATAGCAAACTAGTATAGGCCGCGCCAATGTTCACTATGGTTTTAGTTCTTTGCTTTGCCTCCAAAAACAATACTTTCTTACTTTTACTTCCAGGCTCCGCCATGATGCCAACAAAGACGCAAATTTCTTTGTTTTTCTTCTTCTTCTTGTGCTTTTCATTGACGATTGGCAAACTGAATAAGCTAACTGCTAGCATAAACGCTAACAAGTGTAAAGCTAATAAAGATCAGCCCGTAGGGCACCTACCCACTCCACAAAACTATCAAGTGTGGTTTTTGGTCATCAGAGGGCAGCAGAGTGGTGTCAAACATGAAACTGGTCAAGTTTCTAACTCAGCAATCACTGATATCAATGTTAAAACTCCAGCTTAAAATTTTAATACCTATCTGTTGTTACTTTTTAAAAAAAGTAGAAAAACATGTCATTAGGAGAAATAAGTAAAAACAAGAGAGATGACCCAATAATTTTGTAACACTGCTCTACGTCTTTAAGTGGTGAAGTAGAACCCAGGTTTATATGAAGGTAGCTCAGCTGTGATGGATCATTTTCATGATCTTATTTCTCTCCAACAGAACTGGGAAGGGAGTTTTCTCAGCCATGAAGCTCGGCAAGATCAAGAGCTCTAAGGACAACCACAAGAGAGGAGGTAAAACCTAATTATCGTACGTCGTTCCTGTCCGACTCTGTGGACGTGTTCCAACAAAAATACAATTCTGATGAGGAAGCAAAAGTGATTCATGTCTAATCTGGGTGATGTGTGCAGATGAGCCAGCGATTCTGGAAATGGAAGATCTGGACAAGAAGGCCATTCGTCTGGCTGGGACACTGGAACCGGACGCCGTGTCTTTAGCCTCCGTGACCGCTGTCACCACCAATGTTTCTAACAAAAGGTCCAACACACAGAAAGCACACACTCAGAAACTCACACCACACCAACAAACAAGACTGTCTCTGCAGAGAAACCTTTGAATTATTTCTGAGTTTAAAGGTTTAAAGAAAGCAGCTTTATTTAAAAAAAAAACCCTGACACAAGCTGAGTCCTTCTGCAGTGTGTTCCTTCACAGACTGCTTTTATGATCTGTGCTTGTGAGGGCACCTCAGTATGGTACATCATTAGTTGAATTGTATTGTTGCTTGAAGTAGAATTTCTTGGATTTTGCCAAATGTGTCCTGGTTTAGTCACATAGCAGCAAAACAACAAGATGATTTGAGTGAAACAGGAAGAGGAAATATATACTTTATGTTTTGGCTCTTATAAGGAGTAAATATCTTAAAGCGCTGTATTAGCACTGCAATACTCACACTCTTCCCCTTGGCCTAATGAAGCCATCTGCATTGTGAAAATCATCCCAAGGAGCTGTTAGTTCAATTTCCCCAAATTAGAATGTGGTCTGTTATTTTTTTTATTATCATTTCAACGTAGATTTAGGCTTGTACTCTTTTTTTTCTACCTTGTTCTCAAAAAATGCAGGAATGCTTTCAATTACTGTGATGCGTTTCTCTCAGGTCAAAGCCAGATATCAAGATGGAGCCGAGCTCCGGGAGACCGGTGGACTATCAGGTGTGTTTGTTTTTCATCAAGAATAAGTCTGATCCGATTCAAAAACTCATGGATTTGTTCAAATGTTTCTCTGTGTAAACATTTTAAATGAATAATATTTTTGCTGTTGTAGATGGCTTCAGTTTGATGTAATAGAGAATGTATCCCTCGGGATTGATGAGCTAACGGCTAGGCTGAAAGCAGCTAGGACCACAATGGTTTGGTTTAATCTCAAAAGCAGCTTCAAGAGTTTTACTATGAGTCATACAAATATTAACCTATTTAATATTTATTTATTAGTTTAGCAGAAATATTTGGAAATTCATGCTGGACTTGACCCCTGGAGGACAGGCAAAGATGGCCCAGGATGGCACAGAAAGCCTAAGTCACACTCATCTACTTCCAGACCTTGGGTACCGAATTGCCAAAAAAATGAATGAGTCTACTATGAGCAGATAAAATTTTGTTCTGATTCCATTTGATATCCGTCATGGATTTCACACATGATGTCTGTGAATGCCATGATTGCGCTTTTTTTGACAGGCGGCAAAAGTTATTTTAGGTTTTGCGTGAAAAGACGTGTTGGACTACAAATGCTTGTCTCACCAAATTGACAACATCGAACTGGACACAGAGAAGAAAAATGCTGAGTCTAGTGAGCTTTGAGTCTTTCTGGATGAAAGAAGGAGCATTAAACATGGAAAAAAACACCGTAAATCTGGGCATGTGGTAAGTAGCAGCTGCGCTGGGGAAGAACAGATTCTGTGGTGATGTCATATATGCAACGTCTGATTTGTAGTCCTTTTAATTACAAATTTTTACAAGCTAATAAATCAAATTATGTGACAGTAATAGTCAAAACACATCATTACTTTTCATCTAAATTGAAGTGCAACATACCGGTATGTGGGATTCAGGGCACAAGGCAAAGCAGATTAGAAAATAGCTTTATAGCTCCATTCATTTCCATTCATTTTGTCGTTTTTCCGGGGACCCGTGGACCGACTGGAAGGGAACGACACTTGAGCTCCCTGTTGGCATAGCCCAGTCACCCCACCCCCTTCCTGTCTCCATAAATCTCCATAAAACTGAGAAACACATGAAATCAATATTCACGTGTCTGCAAAACTAAAATATGATGCAGAAATCCTTCTAAAAGCACTTCTTCTCCAGAGACTCATTGACTAAATTCACACAAACTGAATGATTTTCTAGGTTCCTTAAAGGAATTCTGGCAAAACCAACTCAGCCCAATAGTACAATAGCTGCTGAGGTGTGCAAACTGTGATAAATTAGAAGGTTAACTCACTTTGTTTGAATTACTTTTACAGATATTGTTATTGATTATTTTAGGTCAGTAATCGATAAATCTTTAACCCTATTGGTTAAGCATGTTAAATATTGCAGGTCTTTAAATGTTAGTTATATTTTAGAAGTTTTGGTCTGGAAAAATGAATTCTAATATAAGTAAAGCTAAGCGTCGTCCCATTTCTTCTAATTTACTGTTCTCCATTACTGTCGGTATTGACCCACTATTGCACTCACCATGTTATTGGGGTTTCATCAGGCAAAAGAACATTTATTATCTAACCTGTTGGGGTAATTAGGAGCGAGTAATTAGTAATTAATTAATTACTTTTGGATTCTTCAATAAACTCTGTAAATATGGGAATATTTACCGATGTATTAATTAATTAAGATACTCTTACGTATCTACGGGGCACCATCCCTTTAATTAGAAAGGGAAATGAATCCAAAACTCTTATCAGTCTTTCTTGAAGATCGTGGGCCAGAGGAGCAGAGACTTTAAATCGACACAAGAAATCTATTGGAGACAAATCTGAATTTTATAACATTTAATTAACAAGGAGATTAATAATGCAAAACAATGGTTTAATTGAAAATGTGTGTAAAATGAAGGATGTCCCCACGTGATGGATTTGTTTCAGTGGTGAGTCCCTGACAAACCATAAAAACACGTATGAGTGTGTGTGTGAGTGGGTGTGTGTGGTGTGTGTGTGTGTGTGAAATCAATGAATGCTTTGTTTTCCAGCGCAGGTGTGCAGGGAGAGTGTCCTTGAGCTGTGTGCTGTAAGCTGTGAGTGTGTGTGGCTCTCCCCTCCCTTGTCCAGTTCTCCTTTCCCGAACACTTAGTGGCTTAAAATCACAGCAAACTTAAACTTCAACACTTCAAAAGTTTAGACTCTTAAACAACAAAGGTCACTTGTAAATTATTTAATCTAACAGAGTCGATGCAGCCTGGCCACAGCTTACCGACAAACCCAGATTAAATAAACAATAAACAAAAGATCTTACTTCACGGTATATATCTATAACGTGTTTGATTACGGAAGATAGAGAAAACCGTCTGATAATTTGAAGCAAGTCACGCGGTCGACTGCTTATTGTGAACTATAAGAGATGAGAAAGATAAAAAGAGAGAATGAGATAAAACTTGCAGGAGCAAAACAGCTGTTCCGGGCAAAGAAAGGCATCCCTGGTCAGATGATTTACTCCATTGTTCCTCCCCACGAGTGTCTCTCCACGGAATCAGCTGGACAGAGAGAGCAAAGTTTCTTTGTGCTGAGTTTGACAACTTACAGCGTCTCTGAGAGCGGGATGGGTTCCGCTCGTTCCCAGTCAGGTCCTAATGGAGTTGGAGTTTATCAGTCAGCGATCGTTTCCTTCACCTCAGCTGGAGGAATGCAGAAAAAGTAGATTTGCTTGCTGGGTTTCCAACCCAGCTTTTCAGCGTTCAGTGTTTGATCTGCTCACGTTGATCAGAGCAGCAGCAATGAGCGTCCTTTACAGCCAGTGAACTAGGCATAAGAACAGTTAAGTTTCGTTTTTCACTGAAACTTATAGTTTTTGAGCTGGTTGTTGTGGTGACGTCATCACCTTGCTTCCCTATGCAAAGCATCATGGGAAATGAAGTGTCTCTTGGCACTGATGTTATTATCTGCTTTTTCAGAGCAATTTAAGCACAGTAATTTTGGAGAAAATCACTGCATAGTAATTTCCTCATGAGGTCAGACCCTCAACAAACCTTAACCAACTCTGCTTTCTGATTTCTGTGACTTCTGCCATCTGCAGGCCAGGGAAGAAACAGCTGACATCTCAATACAAAAGTTTTATTCCCCACTATTCGACTGTAGTCAGTTCAAATGACATTTGCAACGATGGCATCTCAAATGTTAACACATTCATCCATGTCCCTATAATTACGTAGCTTCAAATGAATTACCCTTGTTGGATCAATAAAGTTTTTTTGAGTAAAAAAAAATTAAAGATGCTATAGGCAAATAAAAAACCGAGCGGATCTATAAGAGAAGGAAAGGACTGACCTTTATCAGGATGCAAATATCAAAAGATGGCATCATTTTCTTAAGGACGAAAATGCAAACAGTAAAAAACTTAATGTTAAATGCAAAAGGAGGAGTGGTAGAGAATCTATGAAATTAGGGTGACTGGATTTTCTGCTGTGTTTGCACTTCCTGTTTGAACACTAACTGAGTTTTCAGAGGCCAAAAGACAGATTACAAAAATGGAAGAATAAATATCACACTTGCACAAACAGGATTATTGTTATTTGTGGAATAAATGATATTTTTTTTCTGAGCATGCCCACTGGTATTTTTGAGACTTAAAGAAACACAGAGCAGTTTCCTGCCACTCCGCCCTTCTGGTTGAAAGTGAAATTACAACTGTCGTAAACAACCCTGCAGCAGCCTTCTAGCGCTAACAGCGAGCTAACACCAACATTAGCCAACTAATACTAAAATAACTAATACTAAAATAAACCACAAAGTAAGAAGATCCAAATGGTTGGACAAAACCATTGACATACATATATGGACAATGGGTTTCCGTAGACTCCAATAACACATTTTTGAGCCAAAATGGGAGGTGGCCACCACCGCCATTTTGACCGTGTCACAGGTTCCGTCAAGCCCAGACAATTCCACAAAAGGAAGAGAGGTGGAGCTGAGGGTGGGGCTGTAAGGCTGGGATCAACTGACGACACCCGGTCGAACTAGCTACAAGCTAACCTGAAGCTTACCGAAAGCTAACGCGAAGGTGGGAGCTAAGCTAACGGAGGTAGCAACCTAGCTACAACCGGAGTTAACTGTGCACAATACCAGAGCTTCTGAGTCAGAGATACGCTAGGCTGACCGCTGGGTAAAACCGGGTGGAACACAGAGGTCTCCCGAGAACTCCACAAGCCGGCAGCCGCACAGCAGACAAGCGCCGCTGCGATCTGAGATGCGCAGAGCTGCCGCTGGGGAGAATTGGTTGAAAAGGTTTCCATCCCAGAACTCCACAAGCCGGCAGCCCACGCAGCAGACAGAAGCCACGAGCTGCGGGGAGGGAGAACCGGGTGGAAAACATCGGTCTCCCGAGAGCTCCACAAGCCGATAGTCTGAACCCAGCTCCACCAACATGTTATATTTTAACCCATTTTCTAAAGTGCAGCATTGTGTTAAATGCACTGGGTTTTACCCTATTACATTTAAATTTCATGGTTAAACAGTACAAGTTAAAATCTAAGCTCAGCAGTGACCTAAAATACATAAATATAATTTTACTTACCAAAAAAAATGAAGTGGAGACTCCTTGGACGCTCTTTTAGTGCAATTAATGCCACAGCAAGTCATCTTGTCCAACAATTGCACAAATAATATCCAAAAAGAATGCACAAACACTACAACTACTGGTCTAATTTCAGAGACTGAAAATGACGGAACAGTTTTCAGGCGAGGCAGAGGCTCTACTGAGGCCTTTCCCCGGAGCTAGCTCTGTGGTCACGTGGGTCTGATGCTCATTAATTATACAGAATTTTAGGCTTTTAATACACTTAAACAAAAGAGTGAGAAAAAAAATCCACCCCCACCCCCCACCCCCCAGAGTTGTCATGAGTGTAAACTAGATCATTTAAATCAAAAACATGTTAAATTTTTCACCCGCATTGTGAGGGGCTTGGACAAAACATATGTTTACTTACAACTCCAGTAGCAACAAAGCTAGGTCAACATCAGTCTGGGATTTTGTAGCCTCCTTTAGCTCCTTCAAACTATTCACTCTGGTGTCAGCGCTTTGCTTCGCCTCCAAAGACCTTATACCTGTCATGACTCATTTTTCAGCCTTCATTCAGCTCACCTGGTCCTCTCACCAAGCTCCTGACAAGCCCTGTTTCCCTGGCAACCACCATCAACTCCATTCATCTCACCTGTTCCTGTAATCAGCTTCATCCACTTCACCTGCTCCTGACTCCTCAGCTCACTTTACACACCTGCTTCCCCTGCTATAAAAGATCCATTCAGCTACCCAGTCTCTGCCAGATTATTGAAAACTTAGTGCCAGTAAATTCTCCAGCCATCCACCCTGCCTGATCTCTGCCTCCAGACCTTGTTTTTCTCCTGACCCCTGCCTTGAACTCTGCCTGCCTCCACGACCTTTGCCTGTCCTCAACCTCGCCTCTTGCCTGTTCCCCGTATCTGCATGTCCGATCTGGTTTTGACCCTCGCCTCCTCTCCGACTCTGTCTCCAGCCTCGCCCAACTCTGGTAACTTTGCATCCTAATAAAGCCTTTTTATTTTACTCTCATTGTGTTTGGCGTCTTCACGGGTCTTCCTAGTTCTGTTCGTGACAATACCTGAGACATCAGTAGCTGTTGTGTCCTTGTGCGAGACACTTAACTTGCCTTGCATGCTGGTGGTGGTCAGAGGGACTGGTGGCGCCAGTGTTTGGCAGGCCTTTTTTCTGTCAGTGTGGCTACATTGTAGCTCATCCCTAGCAGTGTGTGAATGTGTGTGTGATTGACTGGTTGTGTTGTGAAGAGCTTTGGGGAGTTGTACGTAGAACCCTAAGAAGGTGCTATACAAATACAGACCATTTACGATTTACCATTACTTTCTTACTTTTATTTCCAGGCTCCGTCATAATACCAACAGAAAAAGCAAACTTCCTCTTTTTCTTCTTGTGTGAACTGAAAATGCTAGCATAAAAGCTAACAGCCGTAAAGCAGGTAAAGAGTGCCCCCGAGGACACCCGCTCCGCAAAACTATCTGGTGATGTGTTTGGTCAATAAAGGGCTGCAGAGTGGTGTTAAATTCCAATTACCGAAGCGATTTCCTAATGTGATTTCTCGCACATATGGCAATAAATTATAAATAAATTACTCACACTTGTATAGCACCTTTCTGTCATGTTTTGAGGATGTTAGGACCCAAATATGCAGCAACCCAGGATGGCACGAGGCAGGAGATAATGTAAGGTAAAATCCTTTATTTGTGAAAGATGAACAAAATAAATCCAGGCAGCGAGCCTAAAGTCCCAAAACTCCAAGGCTGGAGAAACAAAGCTCACCAAGAGCACGAACAAACGCTGAGCCTAAAGTCCAAAACTCCAAGGCTGGAGAAACAAAGCTCACCAAGAGCACGAACAAACGCTGACAGAATACAAATACACAATGGACCGACCAGACTCTTCTTCTTCTTCTTCGTGTTTATTGGCGGGTGGCATCTAACTTCTAGGTGCATTTCCGCCACCTACTGTGCTGGAGTGTGAGTCGGAGTAAGAGCTTAAAAAAATCTAAATTCTATTCAACAAACCACTGTGTTTTAGATCCGACCAGACACTGAGACAAGACAAGGCTTAAATACACAGGGAGAACAATTAAGGACACAGGAAGCAGGTGTGTGGAGTGAGGGCTGGAGGGAAGGCAGGTGACAATAATTATCTAAATGGGGAAAACAGAAACAGAGGAGGGCAAATACCTAAACACAAAACTAAACAACAATTATCTAAAGACAGAGGGAAGGGCTCACACAAACTAGCTGGAGGAGGACATAGCACATGCAACCACACACACATAACCACACACACATACACACACACTGAGCTGGGGAACACGAGGCTGGAGCTACAACTAGAGGGGCTGAGGATGACTGGATGACACAGGACCTGGGAGGAATGATTTTAAAGGGCTACAACATAAGACACGTAACAGAGATGCAGACAAAGGACACATGAGGGCGCTAAGAGAACACAAAAGGGAATCCAGAGAGGGATGGAGAAACATTAGGAGACACATGGGGAAAGATGCAGACAAAGGACACATGAGGGCGCCATGAAACACAGAAGGGAAACTAGAGAGGATGGAGAAACATCAGGAGACACATAAAGGAGGGGGCAGACGCAGACCTTGACACTTTCAGAGTCAGAGGACTCCAAAGCGCTTTACACTGCAGTGTATATTTCATCCATTCACACACACACACATTGATGATGATGAACTACACTGAATCCACAGCTGCCCTGAGGCACACTGGCAGAGGCCCTTCTGATTCTGAAATATGAAACTGGTAATTTTCCTAACTCAGCAATCACTGAGATCAATGTTACAGCTTTAGCTTAAAGTAAAAAAAAAACTATTGAGTGTTACTTTAGAAACAAACACAAAAAAGCTATATTGGTGTTTCCATCCATCCATCCATTTTCATCCACTTATCCGGAGTCGGGTTTCAGGGGCAGAAGCCCAAGCCAAGAGGACCATACTTCCTTCTCCCCAGCTACTTGGGCCAGCTTCTCCGTGGGAATCCGCAGGCGTTCCCTGGCTAGCCGAGAGACATTGTCCCTCTAGCGTATCCTGGGTCTTCCTTTGGGTCTCCTCCCAGTTGGACGTGCCCAGAAAACCTCACCAGAGGTGTCCAGGAGTTATCAGGAGGCACTGGATCGGAGCCCACCCAAAACACAGCAGGGTCTAATCTATAACTCTGGAAGCTGTTGTGATAGAGCGGTACAGAGTCCTTCCACAAAGACTTTAACAAGCTCCATGTCTCCCTTCAGATCAGCATCACGGTGATCGAGGCTCGGCAGCTCATAGGCCTGAACATGGACCCGGTGGTGTGTGTGGAAGTTGGAGATGACAAGAAGTACACCTCCATGAAGGAGTCCACCAACTGTCCGTACTACAACGAGGTTCAAATATTTCTGAATTCAAATCATAAATGCAGTTTGCTCATGTGCAGAGCTCTTAGACTGAGATTCAGCTGAATTATGTATCTGTAACTGTGGCATAATAATCCCATGATGGGAGGAATCTCACTCTAAGGACAGAGGAGGAATGCAACAGTATAGATGAGCAGGTTTCCAAGTTCTGCCTCTTTGTTGCACCCTGCTGTGAGTCAAAGTGACAGTTTGTCCAATACTGATTCTGTCTGTTGGAGTGAAAATCCTCCTGATGACATCAGAACCTGAGAAGTCAATAAGACAACCGCTCTCGTTGTCTGCGCTCACATCAGAATCGCTGTTTCCTTCTTCTTCTGCATCTGTGAAGTCCAAAAGTTTTATTTTGCTAGGTCTTTGACAAAAGTCTTTTAAAATCGATTAGGCTCTCTGGTCTTTAGTGTTCACAAATCATGTCACATAAGTTTCATCATACTGAGAAAATCTGTAGGGTGTCGTAATTTACCAACAAATCACATCTATCCTATTTTTATATAAATTCCACCTTTAATGCATGAACTACAACACATTTTTGTTAAATCTTTGTTTGTTCTCTCTGCAGTATTTTGTTTTCGACTTCCACGTTCCTCCTGATGTCATGTTTGACAAAATCATCAAACTCTCAGTAAGTAGTCCATGACACTAAACGCTGCTAAACACAAAGAAGATAACACAATTTATTTATTTCAAGTGTTTACACTTTTGCTGTTATTAGATCAAATGTTATCTTGTATAAATTTGTGTGAAGTGGTAAAAATGACATTTATTTAACACTTAAGTAAAATCATGTAAGTTTAATTTCCAGATCAAGAAAAATAGCAAAAAATTGGTTCTTCTTTGCATTTTTAAGAGTTTGGGGCAATGCAATAACAATGATATTTTGAAGAAGACTAGAAATAGTAATAACCGTTCGTGCAACCGTTTTCTGATTGAAAATAGATGGTGAAACTCTAGGATTTGACGCACGAATGAGACATTGATTGTTGGTGGGAATACTTTTTTTTCACTTTTCGGGATTAAAAGTGTGGAACACTCAAAAGCATTTTTTAAATATTATTTCTGATTATAATCAGTCACTCTGAGTTTTTTAAGCAAGCGGAAAATAGTCTCCTACACCGATCTCCAGATGGAAACTAGACGGTGAAACTCTAGGATTAGAAAAGCCTGACAGATCAATCTAATCAATTTCCCTCTGGGATTAATAAAGTGTAATGTCCTCAGATATCTCTTATTTAGGATTGACAGGCTCACCACTCTGTTACTCAGATGCTATTTTTATTAGAACCGCTCCAGGGACCACATTCACTGTAACACACACTTGTCCGTCCATTATATTCATCCTACCTAAACAACTCCTTTTATTCTTACATCTGTTCCTGTTACATAAAGTATTTTTGAATTGAATTGAATCTAAGTCATACTGTCACTTTACATCCACTGACTCACCCATCTGTACTTGCAACAGGGAAGTCTGTTATAGAATCAGCAGCAAATGCCTCGACTAGTAGAAGCTAATCGTTAGCATCAGCAGCTCAACCACACAGCAGGACTCCTTCAAATGTGTGTTATTTGTCGAGAAAAAACATCAGCGCTGCAAGTCAGTGGTAGAGTTGCGTTGCTGTTTTCCAATCAGAGGGGAGATGTCCAAATATCAGAAACTAAGGCATTAATTACCAGACCACTGCAAATGTATTGATTAAATGACATAAAAGTATTATTCGGTATGTTGAAGGGTTAAAAACTCTGCAGATGAATAAGTTCATTGTCAACTATTCAAGTTTTCAGTTTGTGTTCTTTCCCACTTTGACCTACTCAGGTTATTCACTCTAAGAACCTGTTACGCAGTGGAACCTTGGTGGGAACCTTTAAGATGGACGTCGGCACAGTTTACTCTCAGCCTGGTAATTGATCACTGTCACCACCTTTAATCAATGTAAAAATATACAAATGTTTGTTGGTTAGCTGAGAGGAAATCAGTGAATTCATTGCCTTCATATTAATTATTTTGTACGTCTTTTGGTTAAAAAACAATTGTGTTGCCATTTGTCAAAGAGCACCAGTTCTACCACAAGTGGGCCATCCTGTCTGACCCAGATGACATCACTGCAGGATGCAAAGGTTATATTAAGTGTGACATTGCTGTGGTTGGAAAGGGTGACAACATTAAGACCCCCCATAAGGCCAATGAGACGGACGAAGACGACGTAGAAGGGTAAGGAGCAGAACATAAAAGTCAACTGAACTTTACTATTTCTCCTTTTCAATCAAATGATCGTCAAATGTCTCTTGAGGCTTCTTCAAGTTTAGTTACAGCTTATTCACTTAATAAATCTCTAGTCCAGTCACTGAATTAGTTTTTGAATGATTTTTTTTTTGTTTTGTTTCTGCTTCAGAAATTTGTTGCTCCCTGAAGGCATTCCTGCAGAAAGACAGTGGGCAAGAATTTATGTGAGGATCTATCGTGCAGAAGGACTCCCTAAAATGAACACCACCATCATGGCTAATGTGAAGAAGGCCTTCATTGGAGAGAACAGGGATCTGGTGGACCCTTATGTTCAAGTGCAGTTTGCTGGGCAAAAGGTTTCTCCCTCCTCTTACAACTGCTTATTGCTGCTTTATTTGTCTTTTATTCAACGGGGACAAATTTCCCAGGACTTTGATGTGTTTCACAGGATAACCAGCAAAATGTAAACAAAAACCAATGACCATGCCGGGTTTTTTCCTCTCTGTGTCTCCAGGGGAAGACGTCAGTCCAGAAGAGCAGTTATGAACCTATCTGGAATGAGCAGGTTATCTTCACAGAGCTGTTTCCTCCACTCTGCAAAAGAATCAGGGTCCAAATAAGAGACTCAGATAAGGTCAACGACGTCGCCATAGGGACCCATTTCATCGATCTACGCAAGATATCAAATGATGGTGATAAAGGTACTGTTTAAAGGGCAGTGTGGAAGCTGATTGTCTTTTCAGCAGTGATTACCTTTAAAATCCATAAAATCGAGTAATTATTGATTAGATTGATTTATTATTTTATTATTTCCCTTTTAAACCTGATTAGGGTTCCTACCCACTCTGGGTCCGGCCTGGGTCAACATGTACGGCTCCACCCGGCAGTACACACTGATGGACGAGCACCAGGACCTGAACGAGGGACTCGGAGAAGGTGTTTCCTTCAGAGCGCGCCTCCTGCTTTCTGTAGCTGTGGAGATGCTGGACACCGCGTCGCCTGACTTCATGAGCTCATCCGAGGTTCAAGTGGAGACGGTTTCTAACATCTCAGAGGTAAGAGCAATAGTTCAGTAATAACTCTTTTTGTTGTGTGTGCTTGGGGAAATCGGAGCAAAGCTGTTAAAGCTCTGCAACCTCAAAACCCACTTTGGGCTATTATACTGTGTGGCCAATGGCCATACATTAAATTTCACTCTCTTTGAAGGAATCAGAAGCAATCACTGTTGCTATTTAAGGTCTTTTAGTATAGAAAGTGTCACACAGATTGGGTCAGAATCCAAACGAAAACATCCTGATCTGTTTTTTTATTATTTCATCAGAGTGCCACGGGGAAAATGGAAGAGTTCTTCCTGTTTGGTTCCTTCCTCGAAGCGACTATGATCGACAGGAAGATCGGCGACAAACCTATCAGTTTTGAAATCACACTGGGTAGACATTTTTTCTTAACCTTGGTAACACTGACCCTCACACCTCAAGTCAACGTGCATGACAGAGAAACAGAAATCAATAGCTGCTCTAACTCTTTTGTACTCTCTGGACCTGCTGTGGCGTAGGTAACTATGGCAACCAGATAGATGGCGTGAGTAAATCTTCTGCGCTGAAGAAGAGAAAGAAAGAGGGGGAGAACGCGGAGGAGGAAAACGAGCTGATCCAGAACTCCAGCGAGGACGAGGCGGAGGAGGAGGGGGACGCTCTATCTGTGTCGTCAACTCCGCCCATGAGGCCATTCATCACTGACAGGTCTGGGGTCAGGGGTCACGAAACAGAAGGGAAACGTGTAAACCAGCTAGGTTTTCTCATTGTGATAAGAAAACAGGAGTGTCAAACAAAATGAAAACATTGACCCTACCTGGATTTTTCCAGAAACTACTTCCATCTTCCCTACTTTGAAAAGAAGCCGTGTGTTTACATCAAGAGCTGGTGGCAGGACCAGAGAAGACGACTTTATAATTCCAACATGATGGATAAGCTCGCAGACAAGCTGGTCAGTAGGTCACTCACCAACAAGACTTTTTAAACCAGCAGGCACTTTCACCACTCATTTCTCTGTGTCCCCACCAGGAAGAGGGTCTGAATGATGTGCAAGAGATCATTAAGACAGAGAAGGCCTTTCCAGAGCGCAGGCTCAGAGGAGTGCTGGAGGAGCTCAGTGTCGGTTGCAGGTAATTGGCACAATAATGAACTTTTATTATGTATCAGAGCTGACAATTTGAACAGTAGCATGCTCTTTTTTTAATGAGGTAATGCCAGAAAAAGTGCCACAAATCTTCGTTGACACTTAAGAGCTGGTTTTGTTTTGAATTGTGATCATAAAAATAACTTTTCATAATTAAGTCAGTCCGCTTCCCCTGAGGCATCCTCAGGCTGCGGTACTTTGCAGGCAAACACATTCCTTAATGATGTCACTGTGAAAGCATTCAGCAGTTGTGTTTATTTTTTTTCCCTGTAATGGTCTCATAGTCGTTTTGTAATTCAGTTAAAGTAGTACACTACTCACGGGTGTCGTCTCCAGCTCTTTGTTTCTTCCACTTTAATATTGTTTTTACAGTCGGTTCGTGACACTTGCCAACAAGGATGTAAACCAAGCAGGCAGAACCAAACTCGATCGAGAGAGACTCAAGTCCTGCATGAGAGAGATGGTATGATTCATTCCTCATAAACCCACAAGAAACAAAAAGCACCAAGAGGCCCAAAGAGACTGTTCTGGAGCCATTAAGCTTCTAATCTCTCTGCTGTAGTGATTAAACAGCTGGAAGCTGATATAAATGCCAAACTAAAAGATTAATTGCTTCAACAGAATTTTACATTTCCACATTAATTGTAACTTGCAGTACGTTTGCATACATTTGTGAAACAGTCTTCATCCTTCATGCTCCCTTTGGTACAAATATTCATTTTGTTCATGTAGCAAGAAGACCTCTGATATTAGGAGTGATTCTTTGCTGAAATCACCAAATGTTGGTTTAAAAGTCTTTAAAATGAACCAAGTTACAGTAATTTTATGTACGCAACATTTATTAGCCGTGTCAGTTGTCTCAACACTAGAACTACCAGGATTTTCACACCCCCTCAGCTCTACCAGAGGTAGCCAAATGGCTCCTTGGTTTGAAAATCACAACTGAATCACAGACAATTAGCTGCCTTTCATTTGTAAATGTAGCCATTATCTGTGCAGAGTAGTAATGTGGTAGTAATATTGCGGTAATTGTCTGTCCTACAAACAGCGAACGAGGAAGTTGTTAAATGACGTAGCAAATGTGCGATGACCCCCAACCGCCAGTGGCGGCTACAGAAATGTTTTTCTGCAGGTGCTATGAAGGAGCTAGTCTTTTTATTGAGGGTGCTATGAAGGAAGTGGTCATGCGTACCTATTGTTCTCTAAAACACCTTCAACACTAGCAGATACACATGCGTGCACAAAACCTCAACAACACATGAAACAATCATTAATATACATCATAAACATATGAACAATCGCTGACTTTTCCATGAAATCATAAACACATACAGCCACACAGAAAACCATTGGCAGCTCCCTGGGAGTTCTAGTGTTAAATGGGATCGACATTAAAAGATAATTAGTTGTAGATGTATTTCCAAAGGCTAATTTCTTAAAGTTTCAATAAAATCAAACCTTTGGTTGATGAGATGCAGACAAACGAGCACATGCACATGCAATAACATTATTGTCTGCATTTCCTCTGGTCACTGGGTGATCAATCAAAATTAGAATTTTTCAGTCTTCTCTACTCAGCCCACACTGGGACTGAAGAGAAACTACAAAATTATGCAAGATGGTGTCATTTCAGTCATGTAGGCTAGCACTTTGGCTACTTTAGCAGTCCGTACATTAAGCTAGTTATCTAACGTCTGGTCAAAGCTAACCTAAAAAGTATCCCCTGGCTTAATTTACAGATTTTAACTAAGAGTGCCCAAGAAAAGATCAAATATATCATTAATACTCACTTTACACTAGACACAACAGAAACAAAATGTTTAATCATGTGGGGAAAAAAGTCCTGGAGGCTATGTCTTCCCGGTTATGGACCTGTCACTCAAGAAACCACTGTCCAATGAGAAAGGACTTCTCAGAAGTCCCACCCACCCAAGAGGGTTGTGCCAGAAGTTCAAACAGGGATCGCACTGGAGGGAGTCAGGAAGCGCAACTTCAAAGTTGGAAGTGAGCAAAGCTCTGATCAGCGAGAATGAATGAAAATGAAAGAAAGTTGTAAGTCTTCATTATTAGTTTGAAGAAATGTTTAGCAGCTAGCAAGTTTTACTTTTGAAACTATGTTTTGTTTTCTCAAAAAAGTTTTTTTCCTTTTCAAATTCTTGATTTTAGTATTTCTTGATCATTTAGGCACAAAGATACTCCCATAAAATACTTCTTGCTAGCCTTTGGAGTTATAAACAGATATTACGGGTGACATTATGAAAAGTACTCCTTTCCCTTCCTGAAGGACACCATGGGACAGCAGGCTAAGCAGATCCGCACACAGGTGAAGAAAAACACGGTGAAAGATAAACTCAAGCTGGCGCAGAACTTCCTGCTGAGGCTTCGCTTCCTCGCTGACGAGGTGACGAAAATCTTAACCACGTGTTTGAGATCAGAGAGAAAATGATGTTGTAGGGATTTGTGATGAAAAGAATGCTTTTGCTTTTATTCTTAACCAGTCTCAGCACAGCATCCCAGATGTGTTCATCTGGATGATGAGCAACAACAAGCGCATCGCCTACGCCCGTATTCCTTCCAAAGACATCCTGCACTCCACAGTGGATGAAGAAACAGGCAAAGACTGCGGGAAAGTCAAAGCTGTCTTTCTCAAGGTGTCATCATCACTCCATAACTCTTCCTCTCTCCTTCAGCCTCTAACAGGAGAACTTTGATAACTTTTATACCTTCAAAATAAAAGACCTGACAATTTTATCAGGAATGTACTTAAATAATGAAAGGAATACAGTTTATTTAAAAGTTCAAGGCGAATAAACATGCACATTTTTTTTATTATTATTTAATGTATTTGGTCATAAAACATATCTGACTTGATAACCGCAGCTTTTGCATCCATTCATGCTTTTCAGTCATCAGCAGCTTCCAGTAGACGCTCATTTGTGATATAACCTGTGTCCACAGCTGCCTGGTAAGAAAGGATTTGGTCCTGCAGGCTGGACGGTTCAGGCTAAATTGGAGTTATATCTGTGGCTCGGTCTCAACAAGCAACGAAAAGACTTCCTAAGTGGTCTCCCGAATGGTTTTGAGGAAATTAAAGCTGCCAAAACTATCTCCGGGCATCACTCTGTGCCCCCTGTTGGCCTCGCCTACAACAGTAAGTAGTTGGTAACAAATGAGGAAACATCCTACTGGCTTAGCAGCCTGACTCTCACATGTAGGATGAATTCAAATGTTTCTTATGTTGGCAAGTTTAAACTTGCCTTGGCTTAGGGTTAGGATTTTCTCACCAATAACTTTAAATCTGGTCAACTAAATAAGTATTTTTTGTATGATGTGAAGTAATATTTATGTGTTTATTAGTGAAGCAGGTGTTCCAGCTGAGAGCCCACATGTACCAGGCTCGCAGTCTGTTTGCCGCTGACAGCAGTGGGCTTTCAGACCCCTTCGCCCGCGTCTTCTTCTCCACACACAGCCAGGTTACCGAGGTAACAGGATTTTGTGTAAATCGGATACGTGTGTTGAGTTTGTATTGATTGCATGTAAAGAAAAGTGGGTCTGTGTGTGCTGCAGATTCTGAGCGAGACTCTTTGCCCCACTTGGGACCAGCTGCTGGTGTTTGACGACGTGGAGCTGTTCGGAGAGGCCAGTGAGCTGAGAGACGACCCTCCAATCGTTGTGGTTGAAATCTTTGACCAGGACACTGTGGTAGGATGAGACACTGCATGCTGAGAGTACTTGTGTAACACTATTTAAACCTAGTGATGTTTTAAATCTAAATATATTCTGCATTTTTATTCCTTGTGTTCCTACTGTCTGCTCACCCATGCCTGTCATCACATTGCCCTTTGAACTTTTAATTTTTGGCCTTATTTGTGTTCCGATAGAGTGTAAACATGCAAGAGATGTGCATACATTTGGAGAATGTAGGAGAAATGCGCACATACTCTCTCCTCCAGAGAGCTTTCTAACACCTCCGTAGTTATCCCACAAAAATCAAAAGTGAAAATATTTTCAAAGCTAGTCAGAGATGTATTCTTTCTGTAAAGTTGTGTATTTCTAACGATTCTCTTTCAAAAGCATTTCAGCAATGAATTAATTTGCAATCTTCAACCACTTTTGACACCAAAAGGCTGTTTTTGTTAACTGCACCTCCCACACCTGTGTCTAACCCGCCCTTCCTTTTTCATGCACGCTGTCTCTTGCTTGCTGTTGTCCCACCATGTGGTGTGCAGGGTAAGGCAGAGTTCATAGGTCGGACTTTTGCAAAGCCTACCATCAAGATGTGTGACGAGCACTACGGGCCCCCCAGGTTCCCCCCACAGCTGGAGTACTACCAGATCTACAGAGGGAACTGCACCGCTGGCGAGCTGCTGGCTGCGTTTGAGCTGCTGCAGGTAACAAATGCAACACAGCACTTGTGATTATGCAACACTTTTGTGTCTAAACCAAGGAAGAGCAATAAGACAGTTTCATTTTCTTTGTGAGAGCTGTGATTTATTCAGTTATTTTAATTGTTATGTAATATTTATATTAGTGATATGTGGTAAGTTAGGTAATAAATCAAAGTGTTTCATGTTTCTCATGAGTTTAAATATGGGACTGAAATATGCTCTACCAAGAATCAGAGCTGACGTTGGAAGAGTGCCGGCCTCTAGAATTGGATATTTAATATTTTGTAAAAAATAAATATATAATTCATGGATTGTTCTCTAAAAAAAAATCTTCCATCGTCTTAAAGAGCAGTTTCCTGCTGCTCCACCCTACTGGTTGAAAGTGGAATTACAGCTGTCGTAAACAACCCTGCAGCAGCCTGCTGTAGCTAGAGCTAATACTAAAATAAACCACAAAACATCCTAACTGTTGGACAACAAATACTATTACTTACAAGTCCAGTAACAACAAAGCCAGGTCACCATCAGTCCATGTTTTTTAGCCTCCTTTATCTCCCTTAAACTAGCGTAGGCCGCGCAGATGTTCACTCTGGTTTTGGCTCTTTGCTTCATCTCCAGAAATTACTCTTTCACTTTTACTTCCAGGCTCCGCCATGATGCCAACAGAAAAAAGCAAGCTTCTTCTTTTTCCTCATTTTGTGTTTTTATTAACACTTGGCAAACTGAAAAAGCTAACTGCTAACATAACAGCTAACAGCTGTAAAGCAAGGAAAGGACTCCACCTATACTCAAGTCCAGATTTCTGTCAGCAGAGGGCTACAGAGTGGTGTCAAATGTGAAACTGGTCAAGTTTCTAACTCAACAATTACTGAAATCAATGTTAAAGTTAAAGAAAAACTATTTAGTGTTACTTAAGGCTTTCCTTTATTTCCTTTTCACACTAATTTGCACATTCACTTTTCTCTTTCTCCTCTTAAATCACTCCTCTATATTATACCTATAAACACCTGTTTTCCTGTCTTTTTCGATTCTGCTGCCGTTTTTAGAAACCCTTCAATTCAGAGGAGATCCGGCGCGCTTTAATTGCTGTCCACAACTTTACTGTTCCTCAAATAAAGGTTCTCATTTCACTCACTTTTTCAAAATTTCTTTCTTTCACTATCATGTCACACTTGAGCCTGAGTTGGTGCTGCAACAGTTGTCCGTTTGTCCCTGCAAATGTTACTATTAAACTTTGATCCACCTTCACTAGATTGGTCAAGGGGGCCGGGTTGACCTTCCACCACTCGAAGGGTCAACAGACACGGAGCGTGGCCCCATCCTCCCGGTGCCACTGGGCATACGGCCAGTTCTGAGTCGCTACCGAATAGAGGTGAATCTTTTCTGACTGTGCGTTTTGAGCGCCGTAGATTCCCCTAACTCACTGCAGATATTCCTTTTTCCACTCGCAGGTTTTATTCTGGGGATTAAGGGACTTGAAGAGGATAAACTTAGCTCAGGTGGATCGACCTCGAGTGGACATCGAGTGTGCCGGTCGAGGAGTTCAGTCAGTCCTCATTCAGAACTACAAGAAGAATCCCAACTTCAGCACTCTGGTGAAATGGTTCGAGGTGGTGAGTTCACCACTTTGGTGTGGTATTTAAACCTCTAGAAAGTTGTGTTAACACATCAGAGTTTAATCTAACTGTAGCCACAACATTTATGGGCTAGTGTTTTCTCAATGTTTCGTCGCAGGATCTTCCTGAAAACGAGCTCCTCCATCCTCCTCTGAACATCCGGGTGGTGGACTGCAGAGCGTTTGGACGCTACATCCTGGTAGGCACCCATGCTGTGTCCTGCCTGAGACGTTTTATCTACAGTCCTCCAGACAAGACATCCAACAACTGGGCTCATGCAGGTACATACTGGTGATGTGCTCATTCATCATGAAGGGACGTTTGTTTTCTGTTGTCCCTGTAAGATCTAACGCTGTTATTTAATGTATCGTCTTGAAACGGCAAGCAAGACACTTGTCAACAACTTCTTAGTCAGTGTGTGTTAAAAGGTTTTCTTCTGTTCAAACCTAAATCCTTTTCTGAGCCATTTTTTTGTGCCTAAAGATGATGTTTACATTTTTATTGACTTTGCTATTTTCTCTGCCTGCTCCTTGCTCTAACCAACGTTCTGAATCTTATCTCTTTTTTCCATCTTGTTTCTACGTCGCGTGGTTCCCCCTCGTCCTCCTTGTTTTGTCCTTTCCTGCTGCCTGCTGCTGCTACCACCATCTTTACTGCCGGCTTTCCTCCAGCTAAGCTAATGAATGGCTACATGGTTCTAACCAGTGCCGGTCCCCATCCTCGCCCCTCACCCAGCCTTTCTTCCCGCACCTTCTCTCGCCCTGCAGGTGATGTCATCGTCAACTTGGACGACGATTCTTCAATCCGAAAGATGGGCACTGTTGTCAAATTGGATGCTGTAAGATTTTCGTTTTTTGGCCGTAAAGACTCTAAATCTGCAGTTTATAGTGTTTATATCTCTGTTTAGAGTCCTCGCCTCATGTCTCATCCCTTTGAGCTGCCTCTATAAGTGTGCTACTCATACCTGCTCTATCCACTGTGTGCACTAACCCTTGTGTTGTCTTATGTGACGCCCTCTGTCGTAGACATCTGATGCTGTTGTAAAAGTTGACACGGTGAGTATCGTCTTCAGTGAACCGGTGCATAAGATCAATTAAAACTAAAGCCGTCGTAGCACCTTTGCCCTTTTAACAGACTGAAGAAGAGAACGACAAAGATAAAAAGAAGAAGAAAAAGAAGAAGAAGGGAGGAATGGAGGAAGATGATGAGACAGATGAGAGAGTGCTGGACTGGTGGTCCAAATATTTTGCCTCAATAGAGACTCTTAAAGAGGTTGTAAATGCAGTTCCTGACTCTTTTCATTGACTCAATTCAATGGTTAGAACCACTGTTCACTCTCAAAACGTTCTTGTGTGGTCTGATAGATCGTCAGAGCACAGGAGGCAGCTCAGGCAGAAGCAGAAGAAAAGGAGGACCTTGAAATTGCTGCTGAAGCTGCAGGTACTGACCTCCATCAAATTCAATTCAAGTTTATTTATATAGCGCCAAATCATGACTAAGAGTCGTCTCAATGCACTTCACATGGTAAACATTCCAATGCAGGTCAGTTCATTAAGCCAGTCAGAAAATGTGTGTATAGATGTGTGTGTGTGTGTGTGTGTGTGTGTGTGTGTGTGTGTGTGTGTGTGTGTGTGTGTGTGTGTGTGTGTGTGTGTGTGTGTGTGTGCGAGCAAATGTAGATGACTGTGTGTATAGATATATTTTTGTGTGAGTGTGTGTGTAGATGTATGTCTGAGTAGATATGTGTGCATGGATGTGTGTGTGTGTACATCCTCACCTCTGTCAGTGCGCCCCAGGGCAGCTGTGGCTACATCGTAGCTCATCATCATCAGCGTGTGAATGAGCGTGTGAATGGATGAATGATACACTGTAGTGTAAAGCGCTTTGGAGTCCTTACTCTGAGAGGCGCTATACAAGTGCGGGTCATTTATCATGTACATACAGTAATTTTGTGTTAAAACAGTAGGCTTTAGACCAGAGGTGGGTGATCCTGGTCCTCGAGGGCCACTATCCAGCAGGTTTTAGCTGTTTACCTGCTCCAACACACCTGCTTCCTGGATGAATCACCTGTTCAGCAGCTCATCAGGCTCTGCAGCAGCCTGTTAATCACCAGCAGATTCAAACCAGGTGTGTTTAAGCAGAGAAACAATTAAAACCTGCTGGACAGCGGCCCTTGAGGACCAGGATTGCGCACCCCTGGCCTGAAGTATACTGGTTTACACAAAATTATGTTTTCAATTCTCTGAGAAAGTAACAGGTTTTATAATAGTATACACTTTGGAAAGAAAGGGCATGAAGCTGACAAATATAAACAAAATTTACAATTAGAATAAACAAGTAGAAAAAATATTGTGAGAAAGTTGATAGCAGTTTCCAGAACTTACATACTCTCCACATAATGCAAATCTCCAAAGCTGTGGTGTACAACCATGATGACCTGCTGATTCAACCACTTCATCAGGTGTGTTAAGGCAGGGAAAATACTAAAACATGCTGGATGGGGCCCCTTGAGAAACATGGATTGAGACCCCTAGTTTAACCCTCCCACTGTCCTTATGGGTGACCCCGCGAGGAAAGTTGACCATTGAGCAGGATTGGTGGTTTATCCCTTGAGGTCCATGTGGCAGTGGTGAGGAGTGAGCACCACCTCACCCCTGCCACGTGGACCTCAAGGGATAAACCACCAATCCTGCTCAATGGTCAACTTTCCTCGCGGGGTCACCCATAAGGACAGTGGGAGGGTTAAAGGCTTTTAAAAGTTTATAATTTATGTATATAAAGTTAAGGTCCCATTAGTCGTCACACACTGATGTGTGTGCAAAATTTGTTCTCCGCATTTGACCCATCCCCTGGGAGAGCGGTGAGCTGCAGACACAGCCGCGCTCGGGAACTATTTGGTGGTTTAACCCCCCAATCCAACCCTTTTAATGCCGAGTGTCAAGCAGGGAGGCATTGGGTCATTGGTATGACCCGACCGGGATTTAAACCTCGATCTCCCAGTCCCAGGGCGGACACTCTACCACTACGCCACTGAGCTGTGCACGCACACGCACACGCACACGCACACGCACACACACACACACACACACACACACACACACACACACACACACACACACACACACACACACACACACACACACACACACAATGCATGGTAGAGCAGTTGTTAGCACTCTTGTTGTGATTTGGCGCTATATAAATAAACTGAATTGAATCGTTGCCTCGCAGCACGAAGGTTGCAGGTTCGAAACCTGGCTGCAGTCTTTCTGCGTGGTGTTGCATGTTCTCCTCAGGCATGCGTGGGTTTCCTCCAGGTTCTCCGGTTTTCCCCACAGATCACAACTTGCCCCATAGGTTAACAATTGTACGTCGCCTTAGATAAAAGCGTCTGCCAAATAAATAAACAGAAACAAACACACCCACTTTACTTACATCAGGTATTTGTGCAACAATCGTTTTGAGCCTTCTTCCTAGCTGCCCTTCTATTTTTTGGAACAATTTTATTAGGGTGTCATCATAAAGCAACAATAAAATGCAAAAACAGCAGGCCAATTAATTGTGCAAAAATGAACTGATTACCGTGATTATTTTTGCACAATTTATGAAGCTGCTAATGTTTACGTCGTTGTATTGTTGCTTTATGATGTCATGCGCGGTGTCAGACATTACTATTGAGTCTTTGGGCTGACATCACATCATTCTGCTGGACTCACTCAGAGGTGAAACATCTCAGACAGAACACGCTTATATGTTCTGTTTAATTCAACAGATATCCATCGTTATAGTTTAATTTAGTAAATTTAACTTATCTGATTACACTGAGATTTTCTAACCCACATCACTGGTTGTGATCGCAAAAAACGGCCCAATGGAAAGCGACAATACGTGCCAAGAAATCATTAGACTCAACGAATTGCTACACAAAGAAAGATCTCTGAGACGTCACGAGAAGAAAGAGTTCGAAAAGCTGAAGGAAGAACTCAGAAAACACGACGCAAGTTAAGATCTCCACAAAATCTACAAATTAACAGCAATTTACAAGAAACGTATAAAGGTTCATATGAAGATATGAGTGTTAAATATTCACATCTTTCTTCTAAGAATGAAGTGGAACTGGATGAACGGATAAAAACTCATGAAGAAACAAGGAGAAGTCATGAAATAATTCAAAATATGATCGCAGAAAATGATTCTCATCTGGTTTTGCATAAGAAACTGTTAGCTGCAGAAAAATCCAACGTTCTCGCTGCAAAACAACAGGCAGAACATTTTAAACAGGCATTTCTTACAGAGGAAGACTCTCATGGTGACACAAAGGCTACTTTTTATAAATTACTCAACCGTTTGACAGCGGATTATGACTCTCTCAAGGTTTCACATCAGGAACAGGTGAAACAATATGAAACGAGTGTCCTCGCCGCTAAACAAAGGGCAGAATATTTAGAGCAGAAGTTTGAAGAAGAAAGAAAAGCTCATTCAGACTCAGTATAAGAAAAACTACAAATTATTAGAAATCTGACTGCCCAAAATCAAGAACTCAGCGAACAGCTGATACAGCAGGATTCGTCTGTCTTGAAAACCTCATTAGAAGAACTGAAAAAGAGTTTTCAGAACGCGCTTGAGGAGAAAAATGGTTCATACCTTGACCGAAAAGAAAAATATGGTCTAGCCTTCTTAACAGCAGGAAACAGGAATCTCTTCCTGGCACTCACAGAGCACAGACGCTTCTGCTTTGCTCCCTTATCTTTTTTTCCCAAGGCTCTTTTTGTCCTGTCTGCCTACAGAGCGCTTCTCTGCATTTCCTCTGGAAATCCCTATTTTCAGAAATGGATTGAATTAATTGGTCAGTCAATGCTATTGATAAGATTTTTTCTACAATGAGAACGGAGGAGGGGGCTCCCACTTGCCCTCAAGGGACACACGCAGCGGGATATATGCTCGATTCCTGGAAGGAGTGGAAGGTCGTATGTCTCTCTCAGCTGTCCATTGAGGACGTCGAAGACGTGTGGATATTTCGCCTGATGATCACTGGATTTCTTCTGATTGGAGTGGGAGGATATCTGGTTTTCTGGAAATTTGGGAAGTCGGGAGTGATTGGAGGGCGACTCGCACCCATGGAAAGCACCGTCCGGGTGGAGACCTCACAGACTGGGATGTTACTCGAGGTGAATCGTAAGCTGGACAATGTCCTAGCTGCGTTACCGGTGTTAGTGCGCAAACTGGATGTCATCTCGGAGAGGGTCACCGGACGGTGTGGAGATGTTTAATAACACGAATTGGCTTCACTGAAGGACTGGAATGACCAGTTACAGACTGAAGGCAGAGGGGGAAATTATCTCTGCCTGACCCAAACACAGTCTTGTTATCCTAATCTGACGCCAAGGCACCCTTGAACTGCCAACAACAACCCCCCACGAAGGAAGGAATGCAGACAGATGCTGTGGGACCCCCCCCCCCACCCCCCCCCCCCCCCCCCCCCCCCGCCTTCAGATTGTGGACTTCTGCATAGTGAGGTCATCAATCTGCAGGAAACTCAATGTGCTCTGCGCTTCTCCCTCCCTCCTGCAGATACAGTTGGCCGAGCGCTACACATAGCTGCTCGGCCCTGGGGAAACAGGGTCCCAGCCTCCCTATCGGAGTCTCATGTTGTGAACTGTGATGTTCGTGCTTATATGTTGAGGCGTTTATTTTTTTTTTTTTTTTGCATAGTAAAGCTACACCTTGCCGGGAGTAACTCTGGTATGCCTTTTTTTCCTCCCCCAACCTATCCTCATGTAATTCCCTTTTTCATCTATTAGGGTAGTGCGACTCATGTTGCGAAGGACCACAGTCACTAATTCTTGTTATGTGTCTTGCCCATGTATGTCTGATCTCTGAACTGTGTTGTACTGAAACTCAATTTCATTTCTCTGTATGTTTGCACATGTGGTAGAAGTGACAATAAAACGACTTTGACTTTGACTTTGACTTGACTGTGGTTAGAGAAGGTGTTAGAAAATGAAAGGAAAGCTCATTCAGACATGAAAGATAAAACTCAAACAAACAATCAGAAGTTTGGTTTCTGAGAAAGATTCATTAAGTAATAAGATGGCACACCTCGCCTCTGAGATGTTTGAAGTGGAAAAACTGAGTTTCGTGAAAAAACTAGAGGAGAAAGATGTTTTATACCAGGAAGTCAAAGGAAAGTATGAACTTGAGCTTTCTAACTCAAAACACCAGGTGGAAACTTTAGAAAATCAGTTAGAAAATGAAAGGAAAATCCATGCAGACCAATTAGATGAAAAACAGCTGGTTATTAGATGTCTGACCGCTGAGAAGAAGAAAATAAGTATACAAATGAATCAGGAAATCTCTGTAAAGGAAACGTCAATTGAAGAGATGAGAATTAGTTTTCAGAAAGAGTTAGAACAGAAAAACGTTTTATACCAGGAACAAAA